AGAAGAGAACAGGCCAGCCGGGGGCTCACTGAGACCCCCAACACTCTGAAAAGAAAGGAGGACAGCAGAGGAGGGGAGACTAGAGAAGGAGGGTTAGTTGTTATTGACCACAGTAATCCATCTGTCCATCTCTAACAGAAAAAATAAAGCTGGAGTGGTTTATACAATGAGACTGGGCCTGGACTCGTTTGGAAAATACAGTTTTTGTCTTTTTTACTTTTACAATTTATACTCCTAATAAGGTCTGCTTTTAAATGATGAGCACCACAACTGTTGTTTAAATACAATAATCCCTAAACAGGTACGTGTTCACAAAATAAAAGAAGCTGATTGAATATTTATTATAAAAATTAAGTTTCATTGAATGATAACTTAAAACGATTTTCTTTTTGATTTCAATTTCAATCAGAATTTTCACATCATTTTGAAATTATTATTCTTGGAATACCTCAGAACTCGATATGTAATCTCTGGGCCCAGACTCTCAATATGTCACACTTTATAATAAGATTTGAACCTCTGTCCTTTTTATTGAAGCTCATGCTTGACACCTAAAAACTGGAATGGCTGCTCCACTCAGAGATGAGCACAAACTAAAACCAGGTGCTTTGGATGTTAGTACTCACAGATCCATGGGTTTGGTTAGCAGAGGCAGAAAGGGGGATGAGAGTCCCACGATGCTAACAGCAATGAGCTTTAACCCAAGTTAAGTCACAATGAAGCAGCTCAGTAAGACCGGACTCACCTGAACACAGACAGAGCAAAACCGTCTGTGGCTCTCTATTGTGAACACCTTCTGGAAGCACATCCCCCAAACTGACAATTAATATGGAACTTTATTTCATACTGAATAAGCATTAGCTTGCTTTATCTTCAGAAATATCTAGATGCTACAGCTATGACAAACTGGTACAATAGTACTGAATGCTACAAATGAGCAAGTAGCTAACCATCTACCACATCCAGTTTCATTAAACTACTAAAGTTAGAGTACAAATACAGGCTTATACATCATATTCAACACTTTCAGGTCACACTTGTTTGTCAGGACCAGGAGTAGTCGACGTCCATCATTAAACTATATGACTCTCCACACCAGCGGCCTCCTGTCTCAGCTTTCTGTCCACGCATCTAAAAGTAGCATCAT